ATGTTCCTTGTAAATGGACCCCCTGTCAGGTTGCCGTGTTGATTGGTGGGATGGCATTATTTCTGCAGCTTCGCGTGGATCCCAACTTGCCATGAAAGTGCTGGGATAAAGGCGATCACCCCAGGCTTTTCCTTGCAAAGGGGAAACCATGTTTCAAGGACTTGCCCGGTAGAGAAGGAGAAATGAACCCGGGGCTCCCCTTAAAGGAAACCACCAGTTGGATGGTTTATGACCAGCAAGCTTAGCTGAGGATCCTGGAAATGCTAGGCGATCACCTTTCGAGGCCACGAAACATGGTTGCCGAAAAAGGGAACCCATCAAACTCCATCAAGCGGTCGCTTCGCTTGGGGCAGGTGAGGAAACAAGTACGGCGGGAACACGTAGCGACCCTTTGCAGCCATGCCCAATCACGTGGCACAAGCTGACACGACACAAAGCACCAGCTCCAAGCAAGAACCTTTCGACGGCCATTTGGGCAGGGCCTTGTGCTTCTGCTTGATCTCATCCAGATCTGCGTCATCCTTGTGGATGGCGGCCCGGAGGTCCTGTTCAGATGGCAAAATGCTTCAGACTTCAGATGTAGTGCATTTTAAAGGGGCGGGACCCCAGTTTTGGCAGACCTCATGTAGGGCAAAAAGTCCACCAACCACCTCTCACAAGTTTCCCACTCCAAATTCTCACTGGGTGGATGGCCCAAAACATATTTACCACTCAAATGGTCCAAACCCAAAAAGTTTTTAAAGTTCATGAACTCAGGAAGTGAGAATTCGGTTTCTGCCTCTCAGCCTCCCAGCCCCTCACGCCACCTCCCAATCCGCTTCTCCTCCATCAGCTTCTTGAGCTCGTCGGCATCTGCTGTGCTCATCCTCAGGTCCACGCCACGTGGAGCGCTTGGCCCGAGGATCCCGAGGATCCCGAGCATCCCTTTGTGATGCTTGCCCCTCCCCCCCCCAAAAGAAAAAAAGCAGACCCCTGCTGCTGACTCATGATCTCCAGTACCGGACACTTGGAGACTTGTTGGCACCTAAAGACATTTGCAGGGCATTTGCTGGGCTGTTCTCCGATGCCCACGTTTAGTGGTTTAATGGAACCCCCCCCCTAAAACCCTAAAGAGCTAAAAACCTAGTGAACCGGCTGGCTGGGAACCACCAAGCGTACCGTTCGTCTTTGAGACGAGAATCTTGTCCTTCTGCTCAGTCAGCTGCTTCTCGGCCTCGGCCGGCTGTGCCCCCCAAAAGTGTCGAAGCAAAAGCTGCACCGAGCGCCTGATAGGCGAGAGTCTCTGCCTCATTCTTTGCCTGCACAGTGTCCTGCAAGCAATGGGCACGCTCCCGGCAGGGGCGGCACCCTGACTGGTTGAACGGCTCATGTGCCATGGTCAAGACTCGTGATGTGGGCAAAGGGTGCAATGGCCATGGTTCCCTCCCATCATTGTCTACACTCCCCACGATCCGCCAAAAACACACTTTCCTCATGGACGACTCAGGCCTTCTTCCTCTGGTCTTGCTCCCTCATCTGTTCTGCCTCCTGCACCATCTTCTCCACCTCACTGCGCGGCACACCGAGAGGCACGCCGAGAGGCACTCGCGCGGCGAGGCGTGGCGGGCGCCCGGCCTCCGCGTCGGACAAACCGCCGCTGGATCGGATGGTGATGGCCTGCCGGGCGCGGTGGAATCGGACGACCCCGAAAATGGGACCCGCAAAGCGGGGGGTGTGTTTGGCTTCCCTCTTGACACCCACCAAAAAGGTTGAACTCCATCAAATGCAATAGAATCAAGTGGAGGGCACGACTTCACAAAAAATGGAGAGGAAAAAAATGGGAAAAAACGAGACTGGACTGGAGCGCAGAAGGGCCCGCCACCCGAGCGCCTGCTTCTTGCCGGTGCCCTTGTCGGAGGCACTGACATTGACAATGCCATTGGCATCGATGTCAAAGGCCACCTGCCGGTGCAACCCAAAACCCAAATGGCTGTGGGTCAAAAATAGGCTCCCATTTTGGCCCAAAACCCAAATAGCTTAGTGGGGCAACAGGGTTCGTTGACTGGAAACCATGTATATAATGTTGCCCATACTAATCAACCCCAGTTTATTTATAAGTGGGGCGTTCCCCTCCAAAATTGACGATTCCCCACGGATCTCAGGGACACCCCCTATTAATAAGCTGGGGTTGATTAATATGGGTCAACATTCACGGTCCAACCCAGCTAAGGCCGAACATCTGCCACAAACCGCCAAAGCTTCAGCGAGAAACCGTAGCAATGCTCCCATCGACGGCCTCGATCTGCGGAACCCCTCTGGGCGCCGGTGGGATGCCAACGAGGTCGAACCTTGCCGTTTCGGCTGATCAGGGCTCGCGACTCTTGAGGCTGGGTGTCTTGGTGTGTCTTAGGGCGTGTGAGGTTGGCTTAAAAGGAAACCCAAAGGAAAGCTCCGCAAAGGGCCGGGCCCTTTCATCTTCGAAATGACCAGGCCAAGACCCTCGCCACTAGGCCACTTCACCCAACTTCTGCCTGAACCTTCCCCCCCCCCCCTCCCCCAGAGCAAAAAAAAAAAGGAGGAAAAAAACGGTGGGACCGCCAACCACACAACTTGGGCCTCCCTCTTCTTCTGGAGTGGGGGGGAGGGGGGCCGAGACGAACTTCTGCAACCGAGCCGGGCGCTGGCCGAGCATCTGGTTGTCCGCCGCCATCTCGCGCTCGCCCTGGAAGACCTTGATACCCACCTGCAGGTTTCGGCGGCAACGCCACCAGGCGCGAACGATGACGTGTCAAAGGTTGCGGCCCTTCTGATTCACCCCCCCAAAGGGAAAAACGGATAATAATAATAATAATAATAATCAAGAAGAACCCCCCCCCCCCTCCAAAAAAAAAGAAGAATAAAAAAAGTCCACCGCAAAAAGGCTGGGAGAAAATAAAGCACACACCGAAAGGTAACCCACAAAATCGTCATGGTGCCGGGAGTCGGGCATCCAATTGAGCGCGACGCAGCAAGTGCAAACCCCTTCAAAGCAGACGTAGAATCGCAGATAAGGCGGGGGCTCTCATGTAAACAATGCGGCAAATGCAAAAGCATGCCTGCCCATCACACAAAAGTTTCTCCATGCAGGTGCCCAAGCTTGATTTGCAAGTTGCAAATCAAACGAGTGCTTGCGCTTTCGAGGATTCTTGCGACCCTGAGACACCATGTGCCTCGAAGTTTCAATCTGCCAAATCCCATGGCCTGCGTCTGATTGTCAGCAGCCGTGGAGAAGACTTGGGACTTCTTGGTCGGGATGGTCCTCGGCCAAAAGCATTTGGCCATGGGTCAAAACCTAAATCGCACCCCCAGTGAACATCCCAATCCCCACCAAAATAGATTAAAATGGGTCGTGCACCTACCCCAAATGGTACCATTGGTTTTGACCCACACCCATTTGTTCCTCTGACGAAAGCGAAGCTTGGCTTCCATTTGCCTAAGCCACCGGGAAAAACAAATATGTGCAGTAGTGATAGGTGCCCAAGCAAGCCAACGGGGAAAACAAACATAATCTTAAACAGATGGAAGTGTCTCGCGCATTCTCGGATTGAGCGCCCTGCGTGTTTCGGTTGATGAGGCGGGTGAAGACACCGCCAAGGGTTTCGATGCCCAAGGACAGGGGGGTGACGTCCTGGGCGGCTCTCTCTAGTTGGTTCGGAATTCGGTGGCTTGGTTCAGGGGTGGCTTCCCCTTTAGCCGTTACAAGAACCAAATCCCCAAAGAAAAAAAAAACCAACCACCAACTAAGGGCCACCTAAGCTCTCGCCTTCTCCGAGCTTGTTCACGAAAAAGCACAAACTCCTACCTTTTACTTGCTGGTGCGATAGGCAGAGGAGACATGGAATGACCCCAAGACAAACCGTCCCACTCTGGTGGTTTCCTTTAAGGGAATGCCTGGGTTCATTCAACCACATCCCCTACCTATCGCACCAAGTGCAGCAGGAAATCTGGATATCTGGGGCCCTTCGCCAATAGAAGCACATCCTTCACATCTCCCTTCAGCACTCCGGCCTGGCAAGCTACAAATGCCATCCACCATATCCGCACAGAACTCCAATCAAATCGGTAGCTCCCAAAGGCTCCCGCGCTGTACAGGCAAATTGTTGGGCACCCTTAGCTCTATTTATATAAATCCATATATATATATATATATGTGTGTATATATACACACTATTTATAGTATATATTTACACCTTGGCCCCTTCCCAACCACAAGTTAGATCTGCGAACAGCCGTGTCCGGCAGTCCAGTCCACTCGAGTCGCGTCGCGTGCCTGGATGGCCGCCCCCATGGCCACGGCCTCGTCGGGGTTCACGGCCTTCGAGGGATCCTTGCCTCGGGCGCCGGATGGCTGTGGTCGAAACCGTTTTGGGATCCCTTGTTGGTTGGATTGGGTGAATTCAGCACCCATGCTAGACCTATTTTAGTGGTTGGATTGGGATGTTCATTGGGGCTACGGCCGCAACTTGGCTATATAGACAAACAACCAACCAAAATTCAACGAGCGGAACCAACAAAAACCAACCTGAGCGCACCTACCCACAAACAAACAAAAAACGTGAACAACACCCACCTGGATCGAACCAGTTGCGATCGCTCGCTTTTTTTACGTCCATCCAAAAACAGGAAAACAGCGACTGAAAAAAGCGACTGCAACTTGGCGATCTAGGCAAACAATCAACCTAAACACCATGAGCAGAACCAAACAACCAACCTGAAAACACCTACAAGAAAAAGACGTGAACAGAACCCATCCAAAGCGTTAGACTCACTTCCGGTCCAGTGGATGGGCCAAAACAAAAATAGCCAACCCTTGTTGTTTTTTTCCACGAAAATAGGCTTCCCAAAAATATATATTGAAGTCCAAGGTCTCGGGGAGTGAGAACCCGTGGATCCCATCTGATTCCAAGCAAACGGACCCAAAAGGACATGACTGAAAGCCTGTGATTTCGACTGGGCAGACTGCGCTTTGCAGGTGGGAAGGCACGATCCAAGGCACCAGCCATAGATCGACCTCACCAATTCGGTGACCTGCAGGTAAAGAAAAAAGCGCTCCCTTGCCCAACCGGACGCGCAAGCTGAAGCGGAGGGTCGTGAATGGCAGCCAAAGCTGGGAAACCAAACAAACACTAAACAGATCTAAAAAACCTAAGTTGAACCAGGATGCCTGAGTCCGGGAACCACCAAGCCTTTTGTCATGCCGTCCAGCCTTGGGCATTCGGGTCATGCCACCCACCAGCAGCACTTCGTTGATCCTGGACCGCTGAAACGCCAGGCGTTTCGGCGCAGTCGGCCGAGCGATCGTTTCAGCCCCGCACTCATCAGGCTTCACGCCGGCATCCTGCCCAGGGGCTCGTGCAGCGGTTCGAAAGTAAGCAAGAAACTGAGACACAGTCAGTATTCAAGAGTATGGGGGGACACCCCTTTTAACAAGAACCCGAACAATTGGACACAGTAGTAACAATAGTATTTGCAAAAAAAAAGAAGAAAACAATCGCAATGGCAATGAGATGATGATCACAAGGATAATTCTGATACAGACCGACGCCACTTTGGCCTGTCAAACGTGTGTCCTGCTCTGTTCACTCGGGTGGCAAGCAAAGCTCCCAGGCCTTGTTGCATGCGAGGCATGGGGCCTTCGTTCGGCTCAACAAGGGGTCCACAAGCTGCTCCAGCTTCGACCTCGGATCCAGGAAAGACCTCCTCACCGATGTGAACTGCCCCCCCCCCAAAAAAAAAAAAAAAAAAAAAAAGCGGCAACCGCACTTTCTGCGCCAGCCACTAGAATGGCAACCAAACCCCAAAAGTGACCGAAGTCCATGAACTTGGGAAGTGAGCCGTACACACTACAGTTGGATGGGAAAAAATCGGCTCCCCTTGAATGTTGACCCCATATAAATCAACCCCAGTTTATTCATAGGGGGAGTGTTCCCCTCCAAAAGCGATCTGACTCCCCAACCTCAACCCAGGGACACCCCCCTATTGTTAAACTGGGGGGATGGAGTTCATCTAATCTAGGTTTTCGGGATCCCTACTTTGAGACACGCCCAATTGAAACGAAGATCCCCGGCTTGAAATTCATACGGGGTCAACAATTCCCGCAGAGGCTTCAGGGGACTGCCATCTCACAGCGGCGGCTTCGGCTGGCGGCTTCAGGCCCCCGCCGAGTGAGCTGGATGTTCAGGTGCTTCGGACCTGTCTGGTCCGCCGTGATGAAGGGCAAGTTCACGTCGGTCCTGGGCCAAGCTCGACCCGATTTGAAGGTTGTTGGTTGAATTTGCGGCTTCCCTCATTTGGTTTGAGGCCGAATTGGTGGTTTAGTGGTTTAGGAGAGTGAAACCTGATCTACACTCTACAAGAACCAGGGACCCGTTCAAATCCAAATCCAAACCACCAATTCAGGGATACCTGATGAATGGCTGTGCAAACCTGAGTCGTGCATGGCACCTGCGTTCAAATTCCCCGAACTGGCGGTGTTCGCTTTCGTCCGCTTCTAAAAAACCGAGAACCCCCCAAAGCAAAAACTACCTACATGGTCGCTTGCTAGAGGTGCAAAAAACAAGCCGCTGTCAGCTGGGGCCCTTGCTGAACTTTGCTGGACAACTCGATCTTTGCCTTGGCACTAGCTGAGCGGTGACCGTGCACAACCCCACCATTCAATCAACCCAACAGTTGGCAAGACTCATAAATCAACATCTGCTATTTACATTGTCTACCACAATATAGTAAAGAATCAAGACCTGCAACCAAATGGACCAACACCAAAACACCTGGCGGAAAGGCCCAGCGGCCCCACATTTCGATGCTTTACCTGACCAAGAAACACGGCGCACCTCCCCCCTTTACAATCCCAAGGGCACGCCTGTCGAAAGGGGAGCCACAAGAAATTGTGGCTTTCCTCAGCCTAACTAAGAGGTACCTCCTGTTCCTTCCGGCGTCCCTTTTTGTCCAACTTGAAGGAGCAGAGGGGAAAAAAAAAGGAAATACTGAGCTGTTGGGATCAGAACCGAAGACCAACCAGCCTAAAGAGGTGTCCTCATTTTTTTCCTCTCAGCCAACCTAACAACGGGTATCTTTAAACCAACCTAAAGGGGTGTCCTTTAAAAAAAGGAGAACCAAAAAAAACACAAAGGAAAAAAAAGAGGGAAAAACAAAAGAGGACAAAAAAGGAGAACAAAAACACGCCCCTCGGATCAAAGCAGACCTCCTGGGGACCCCGCGGTCTCCGCCGCTTCCCGCAGCCGCTGCAGGGCCTCGGCCAAAACGTCGCCGAAGCGACGAGGACACTCCACCGGAGATGGGTCGGTCCGTTTTGAGGGTACCCCTTTGTGGCCTCTTAAAGGGAAACCAAAAAATAAAGTGTTGAGGGTACCCAGATAGCCAAGCTGCTGCTTTTTTCAGGCACGGTTGCTGGTTTTTGGATGGTAGAGTGGCTGGAAAAAAGCAGCAACTGGCGATACAGGTACCCCTTTGTGGGCTTTTGAAGGGAAACCAGCGGAACAAAAAAAGAACAAAAAAATCTTGAAAAGGCCACAAAAACCCAACACACAGAAGCTCGCCCATGATACTTGCTGGGTATGTGGCATCAAAACCCGGAGCTACCAGCCAGAAATACAAGTTGGATCCTTCACGGGTGAGTCCCATTCACAGGGGAGTGGTCCAAGAGTGGGGGCGTCCTAAGGCTTCCTGCAGAACTTTCAGGGTTCTTAAGCCATGGTTGAAACCAGAACGTTTGCTGAGGTACTTACAGGGGAATCGAATCATTCCAGGGTTTCCAAGGTGGTGCGGAGTGGACTTCGTCCATCCACAGTATTTGCTGGGTAGTTAGCTTACTTTGCGCATCGTTTCCTGAAGCTCTGTGATTGAAAGTTTAGGCAAGAAAACTCGGTACGCACAACATTCCTTGGCTCTCCGTTTTCAAATCCCCTGCTGGTTTAACGATTCGTGGGTTGCATGGTGCTCTACCACTAAACCAGCTCAAAGCCAAGCCCAAGGAGCCCCAAGGCTGGGAGAGGCAAGATGAGTTCGGGCGGGAGAATTACTTCAGGTAGTTTCAGTGTCCAGGTTCGGTCGAACATCCAAGTGGCCTCGAACGCTTCGCTTCCTTCGCGCGCTCGTCCGCGCCCCATTCGCCCGCATTTTTCAACCGGAAGTGGGCCATTCTGCGGCCGCAAGGGCGCCTTTCGGCCCCTCCCTTCGCCAGCTGCTCGTGTGTGCCTTGCTCCACGGGAAAACCTCCCAGAGCCCGGGCGAAAACAACCACCGGGCACCCGTTCCCTCAATTTTTCCTTGAAAAAGGGATGTTTCTCCAACATTCCCCCCTTGTTCTGTGGGTAGTTGACGGTCGAGGCACCTGTTGAAAGGGAAACGCCCAAAATAGAGGAAACTAGGCTCACTGACCAAGAAGTGAGGTTATATCGGTCATGGGTTTCGACCTGCTGAGGCTGCAGCCAGCTTGTCCTTGGACAAATCCTGAGCGATGTTTTCGGGTTGCTGGACACCACGTTTTAACTGACAGGCACCATGCAAGTAAGCAAGCCAGCTGTTTTAGGCCCTTCCTGGCGTCCAGAAAGCGAGGCGCTGTCTAACTTTCAGAGTGAAACGTGGCCCATGAGTTATGGGTCAAGCGGTTCTTCGCGGATTGCAGGCCAGGCGTAGGGCCAAAACTATGAGCTGCGTAACGCAGGCGCTCGGCACGGGCAAGTCAGCCACTGCATCATCGCCGAATGCTGTACCTTTGCCGCTTCAAGACTGCAGCATGCAACAAGGCGACATCACCGCCTTTGGCACGGACAGCCTCTGCCAGCCAGAGGGGGCAAGCAAACATCTGCTTGACATTGCTTGGTTTTTCTTTCTGCCGCCTTCTTGTGCCCCCTTTGTGTCAAAGCCCCTTTGGCCGGCGGTCAAAAGCCCCGACTTTGGCTCCGAGGAGCTGGTAGTAAGGACCCTTCAGCTGCCCCCCGTGCTGTCGGAGAAGCTGCTCGATCTCCTTCAAGGCCCGGGCAAAACCCAATCCCCCACCCTTTCATGGGCCAACAATTTGATGTAAACCATCCCCACCAACAGATACTCACCTTCCATGGGCCAAAAAGGTGATGCATACCAGCACCAAAACGGGTACCTCTGACCCCTGTCCAGCGGAACCCTGAGGCGAAGTCCATTGGCTCACCCCGCGCCTTGGCTCCGAAATAGCCTCGGAGTGGCGCCAAGAACCGACGCCTCGATTCCCTCAATGAACCAAAACAGTGAGCAGACTGGCCTCATTCTTCTACCATGATCAAAGTCATCCCCAAAGTGATGGGTTAAAGGGAAACAACCGATTCCATTTTCTGACTTTGCAAAACAATCAAAATAATAACCCCAGGCAGAGTGAGCAGGCAATGTTGCCAGGCAACGCGCATGCGCCAAGGGGGAGTCGCCCTCGCTGTCTCCAGCATTGATGTCAGCCTTGGCCAAAGGACTCAAGAATCAAAGGAAAAAGGTAAAAGTTGAAGGTTGTGGTCTCTTTATGGGCACGCCTGAGCAGGTTGCGGAATCTGATTCGCATGCGCATGCTCCGAACGCATGCGCGGTTCATCCAATATCGTTGTTCACATGCTTGGGCGTAAACAAGCAAAATCCCAAAACTGCACAAAACATGGCAATCCGAGCAAAGAACAACCTCGAAGTACCTGCCGTGCTCGGCATATTCGGGCACTCTTGCCTGGGCTGCCTATTTTCAGATCTGCGAAAAACAGTTGAACTTCTAGTGGGCTAAATTGGTGAAAGTGAGAACAACTAAGAACCTAATAAAAGCCAACTAATAAGAAACCAACAAAAAACCTACTCTAAACCAACTAAACACTAAAACCCTAAGGAACTGCAGGGCTGGGAACCGCCCAGTTGAGGTTTTCCGGGCGCGTTGCTCTCGTGGCGAGGGGCGCGCATACGCAGCAGCAAGGCCACCACAGCAGCAGCACCGGGTTGGCCATGCTGAGCACAGCAGGCGTGGAGCGGCGTACCACCTGCGCATCTGAAAACACAACCCTTGGTATGGTAGGTTTTAAAACAAATGCAGCCCCCTACTAAACATGAACAGAACCAAAAAAGGAAGCTGCAGAACGTGCCAACAAGTGAAGTGAAAACACGATGGCTTTTGATGGCACGTGTCATCCTATGTAAAGGACCTTTCGATCAACACCCATTTGGGTGCGTCGGTTTTATTTTTTTGCAGGTACGTTGGGTTAAAAGGGACACCAAATGGAAAATAGCCCAAATGGGCATGTGTCTCAACACGCGGGGAACCAACCATGGTTTTCAGTGTTCCCGTGGGTTTTCCTGTAACCCAGACCCCAATTTGGCACCCTCAAGCACACACAGACAGACACAGACACAGACACAGACACACGCGCACACACACACACACAGAGACACAGGACGCGAAAAGACGCTACGCACACAGACACAGGACACGCGCAGACACACAAAAACACAGGATATAGAGGGAGAGAGAGAGAGAGAGAGAGTGTGAGAGAGAGAGAGAGAAACACAAACACGCACACCCACAAACACACACACACACACACAAACAACCTAACAAACAAACAAACAAACAAACAAACAAACATGCTTGGTTTCCCAAATCAACCAAAAGGCCCCACCTTCCAAAAAGACGGCCCCATGTGTTTCCCAACATTCCTCTTGATTTCCTACTTTGACAAACTACTACCTTTATGACCCTCAGAGAGCTGCAATCACTGAAAATCAGCAAAAATATAAACATACAGACGCGGAAACAAACAAAAAACAACCCCATGTGTTTCCCAACATTCCTCTTGATTTCCTACTTTGACAAACTACTACCTTTATGACCCTCAGAGAGCTGCAATCACTGAAAATCAGCAAAAATATAAACATACAGACGCGGAAACAAACAAAAAACAACCCCAAAAAAAAAACAATAAACAAACAACTGCAGCCAGGGGGCAGACCAGGTATCCAAAATGTGCAAAAACACGAGGAAAAAAACAAAAAAGAACAAACACAGAACAACGAAAAAACCAAAAATGCAGCCCGGGACACTTCAGGGGCAGACCAGGCATCCAAAATGTGCAAAAACACGAGGAAAAAAACAAAAAAGAACAAAACAAAAAACAACAAACAAAGAACCAAAAAAAAACATGCAGCCCGGGACACTTCAGGGGCAGACTAGGCATCCAAAATGTGCAAAAACACAAAAAAAAATGCAGCCCGGGACACTTCAGGGGCAGACCAAGCATGCAAAATGTGTAAAAACACGAGGAAAAAAACAAAAAAAAAGAACAAAACAAAAAACAAAATGCAGCCCGGGACACTTCAGGGGCAGACCAGGCATCCAAAATGTGCAAAAACACGAGGAACAAAACAAAAAAAGAACAACAAAGAACAAAATGCCGCCCGGGACACTTCAGGGGCAGACCAGGCATCCCTGTTTCCCTCTTTCTGTGCATGCGTGTTGTTTGTTTTCTGTTTTTTGTCTGTTTGTTTTCTGTTCTTTTTGTTTTGCTTTGTTTGTTTTGTTTTGTTTTTCAGTGTGTATTTTTGGTTTGTTTTGTTTTTGCTTTTTGTTTGTTTTTTGTATCTTTTTTGTACTTCCCAGTTGTTGCCTCAGTGAAAGTCTTAATACTACCTAAATTCAACCATGCCAACTGTTTGCAGTGATGGACTCTATGCTTAATTCCAGCCTGAAGTGTCCATGACGCCATCCCCGCGGCGCAGCCAGGTGTTCACATCCTCGTGGCAAGTCCCATGAGGAAAAGCCGCAGACCCCCAAAATCGTAACTTTCCCTTTGGCTTCCCTCTAAGCCAGGCCCAGAAAGGGCGGTCTCATACGGTCTCAAAACAAGCAAACGGACCCAAGCGTCACGAAGCACCCCCAAAGCACCCCCCAGTCCGCACCACGCGCCAAGCACTTCACGGCACCAGAGAGGCTCTTGGCAGCGAACGCCTTCCGGAGGCTCGCGAAGTCCTGAGAAGGCGCGGCGAACATGCACCCGCTGGAAGCGTGATGGCAGTCTGCCAGTCGGGGGCAGACTAACGCGCCCAAGAGCTTTCGAAAACGCAAGCTTCGAGCTTTGGAGCCGCCCCGTGTTGCCAATGCATCCCGGCCTCATCATCGGACTCGCTGGCCCCTGCCCGGAAAGCTTCTGCACGAAAGCAACGGAGCCCGGTGGCAATTTTCAAGCCGCTTCACGATTGATTGTTTCAATGGTTCTTCCACCAGCTCCTGGAACATACCCCTTAAGCACAAAAATCAAGGAATTTGGAATAACTAAGCCCTAAATATGGCTCAACTGTCCCACAAAACTCCTGGTAGCTTCTTAGTTCCCTCTTCAAATGCAAGTTTGGGCACCCCCATCTCCTTGGCCCCCTTCCAACAACAAGTTAGCCCCATGGTGGTGTCTCGTGTGTTGATCCCCATTTTTGTGGTTGGCGTTCTCGGCAACCGTGGCCCATAGATCATGTTGGGCATCCGCTTGGGGGGCTGAGAAATCCTGGGGGCCAAACCAAAACGGCTTGGAATGTGGCGCATCAACTTTCACCCAACTGGCAAAATACTTGGTGCGGTTTCTTCCGAGAAAAGAGGAAAAAAAGGAGAAGAAAAAGGACACCAACGCTCCTTGCACGGGCCATCCACGCTCCGAGGAGAAAAAGCAACTCCCCAATCGACCCGATCGACCAATCCATCCTCCGGCGATCGATCCGCCTGCGTCTCTGAGCAGCCCTTCCGCCTTGGAATCCTTCGCCGCACGCGCCACAAAGAAGGGCGCGGGGGTGTGGCCCTGAAGCGTCCGACAGACACGCGTGACCAAATTGGGGGGGAGGGGGGGACGAGCACGGGAGGGGGGGGGAACGAGCACAGGGGGAAGGGGGGGGGGGGCAACGAGCACGAAGATGCTTTCCGCTAGCATAGCAAATTGGGGTGTGTACCTTTTCTATAGGGGCTATATGGGGCCATGTGTACCATTAACCCGACTACTTTTTGCCCACGACTCTATGTGTGGTGAGAAAAAGGGATACCAAGTTAAGAGGCATAATCGCGCCATCTCCTTTTACCCCGTGTAGCCAGGCAAGCGGGACGGACAAGCTTCAGCCGGTATCAAGATTTCAAGCTTGTAAGAACCATTGTGAATGGGAACCTCTCCGCTTGTGCAAAGCCGTGTAACGCAATGCGTGAGCTGCCCTACAACAGGGTTCCCCATACTCCCCCTCAAAACATCACTTTCCTACGGGAAACTCACCTTAAATGGGCCAAAAAGGTCATGTTTAAAGCCAAAAAGGCTTGATGTGTGGACCCCACAACCGAGCCCTGTGCCAGTGAGCCTTGCATCGTGCCCGGGCTCCATCAGCAAGGGCGGCCTCCATGCCAGCATGGTCACCTGGCTTTCTCACTGGGCTGTCTGCTCTCAGATACCAGCGACGGGCTTTCAGTGGGCTAAATTCGGACATCCAAGCACTCAACACGAAACAGCTAGAAGCCTAAGGGAATGGCGGGAAACCACCAAGTATGGTAGAACCCTCATGGATGATATGATTCAACCCCTTTGCTGCGAAAAGTTCCCCCCCCCCCCCTCCCCCGGTCAATTCTTGGTTTTTTGGTGCATCTTGAAACTTCAAGCAAAACAGGGGGGGCTGCTTGTGGACACCAAATGGACCTCACGTCCCTGGTTCGTCGCCCGCCGCTCTGAACCCAGCCGTTCCGGCCATTCTGGCGCCAAGATCCCCTCCTGGGGTCCCTGCCTGCGGCAGTCGCGTAGAGCAACCTGCAAAGGTCTGGCGACACAAGAGGCCTGCCCCCCCCCCCACAGCTCCGGCCTGCCATCAACCTTTGCCTGCTCTTCTTCTGGCAGAGCTCCACCTAGGTCGGCATGGCCCTTTTTTTTTTTTCTCCCTCAAGGAGGGAATGACGAAGAGGCGAACCATCCCTGGTGGGCTTCCGTACATGGGGGACAACCGTTCATTTCAGCCATACAAAAAGGACCCTTGGGGTTCCCCACTAAGCATAATGCTCCTCACTGCAGAGCCAAGCCACCAACGCACGTCAGCTCCTTGGATTGGTCACAGGTGTTCAAGCGCCTTTTGCTGCATGTGGGTCTCTGTCCCTCTTTTTGTTGTTGTTGGTTTTAAAGGGAAGCCCAAAGGAAAACAAAGAAGCCGTTTTCGGGCCCCCCCCCCGCCGTAAAAAAAAAAATGACAGCCCCTTTGCAGAAGCTTAGCCTCTGGGGCGTCTCCGCTTCCCAAGCTCGACCGAGCCTCAATGAAAAGGCCGCGGAACCGGATCCGATTCGACTCAACTGGGCGAGCCTTTGGCGAGGCAAAAATTCGGTCCAACGAAACACGAAAAGCTCGAAAAACCCTAGCTGCACCGGATGGCTGGGAGCCACCAAGATGTGAAACGTCTCAAAATGAGTGCCTCTTAAAATTGAGACCTCCAAGCTTTGGTGCCCAAATTCCTGTTCAACCATCCAAAAGAGGGTAGACCCAAAGCGGTTCCCTTTCAACTAGGTCCTCCAGTAGAGAGGTTAGAATAAGGGTACCAACTTTTTTCTGTAGTCTATTTTAGTCGGAGAACCCTCCCCCCAAAAAAGGGGAGAGAAGGGCACCTAGCTGGGGGGCCTAGCAAAACTTGGTTGAGGTTGCAAAAAATCATGTTTTAGCAGTTAAGTGGATTTCAACCACTAAACCACAACAAGCAAAATGTAACTCATGAAAACTCCCCAACAATAATCAACAATAATTATGAAAACAATAATCATGAGAACAATAATAATCATGAACATGTAAAACCCAACAACAACCATGAAAACTCCCCCCCAAGGCACACCCAAGCTGCCGCCACCCCCGCCCGAGCGTCCACCTGGCCGCCCTCCGGCAGCTCCAGCGCCGCTCCCAGCGGCTGAACCCCAGCGCTCGCCACCACGTCCTCGCGCCCCGGGCGGAGCTCGCCGAACGTGGGCCCGGCGCTTTGGAACGACGACTTTCTTGAAAAGAACCCTTTCACCAGCCCATGGTACCGAACATGGTGCAGATCCGCCGCTTTGGGGCTTCGTGCACCAGCCCATGTTGGTGGGAGGGTAAGCTTTGGACCATTTCGGTGGCAAGCAACGAAAGATCGGTGCGTCACTTTGGTGGTAAATCATGTTCCTGGCCTCCCGTTGATCTCCAAAAGCCAGAGGTTCAAGTCCCCAAACCACCAATCCAAACCACCGACTCAGAGTTACCTGAACTGATGGACTGAAACCGGTCACCATTTTCACCTTGGTTGAAAGGGCACGAAAAGTCATGGCCAAGCGACATCACCGCGGATGAAACTCCTTGGCTGGAACGGGAGTTGACGGTCTCGACCGGCTGCCGGGAGCAATGCCCGACTTGGGACAGGCTGTGTGTGTGCGTGTGTGTGTGTGCGTTTTTTGTGAGGGGCCCCCTTTTTTGGGCGGTTCTAGGAGGACAACACTTGAGGGGTGAACGAAAGCTAGCAGCTGCAGCAACAAAGCTGGCGCACTCTTTTTGCACTCTGTAATGGGTGCAAATTCGACCTGCTGGCTGGGGTGGCCCACTGGGGACTCGAGCCCCTGGGGGTCTAAATGATTGTTTCTTGCGATCTTTTGGCCCAAGCAACTCATAAAATCCATCTTTCGGCAATTCAGGCGTTGAAGCTAGCCTGCGTGAAAAGGAACACATCACCACTTCTGGGGCTCCTTTGATTTTTTAGCGGCTGGAAGCGTTTTCGGGCGCTCGATTCGAGGCCAAAGGGCTGCATCAGCAGCGGTATACGCCACTGCTGGCGCACCGCCTCCCGTAGCTCTTGCACCCGCGCGCTCGAGGGCAGCGTCAGCTGCAGCCTCGGGACCCCCACCGCATCCCCAACTCCGTCCAATCGTTGTCTGGGAAACTCCGGCGATGCTTGTTTTAGGTGCCTCGTTTGAGGGTACCCCTTGTCAGATTCTACGGGAAAAACCCGAAATCATGCTTGGAGGCTCCAAATCGATCCGCATGTTGTCCATTCAAGCGTGAGCTCGGCAAGAGAGATCTTTGGTCCGAGGTGCTCCTGCCCGGCCAAGCCTCGCAATAGGATGTGCACCTCACCGGATAGGTGGACACCTGGGCATGGGTCAAGAATAAAGGTTGCCCCAAAATGGACCCCTCGAAAATGGAAACAAGGACGAAAGCCTGCGGTCCAACTCCTGGTGGTTTAATTTTGACCCATAACCACCTCGGACTAAAAGCTGTGAATGCTGAAGCAAGGGTAGTATTCAAAGCCGGCAGCAGGCGCTGCATCGATCCACGCTGGCGTCATGCGCAAAAAACCGCCGAGCTCAAGGCTGGAGTCCTCCTGCAGGCTGCGAGGTTTTGCAATATTCAGGGTCCACTGCAAGATTCTAGTTTCTTTGTTTTTGGTATTACACCCTGGGAATTCACCTGGGTATTGACCCCATTTAGGCACATTTCCGGATAAAACCGGGTTGTTTTGAACCATTCTGGGTCATTTCCCAAGGGTGCAATCCCAGGGTGTAATACAAAAACCCTCAGAGAGATGGTGCGTGTGAGAAGCGATAAGCTGCTGCAGGGCCAAGAAAGAAAAGGGCGTCTGCCCCACAACAAAGACGTTTGCTCTGCATCACGTCCCGCCCTGCGCAAGGTTCTTCCAGGCAAAGAGGGCTAAACCAGGCTGGGAAGCTGAAGATCTCAAGCCCGCGTTTTGACCGCCATTGGTTCATCCCAAATGGTGGGAGCCCAGACCTGCAGCAGCTGCCCCTCGCGGCTTCCGCGGCATCCGCGGCGCAGGCGCGTCACACAGCCGCCCATTGGACGACGAGGTTTGTGGCTGAAGCCTTCGGTTCCTTGAGGTATGCTGCCCGAGAAACGGCGTGCTCTTCCGAATTTCATCCCACTCTCGCAAAGTTCAAAGGGCCTCTGAGAGGTGTCTAGAGGCCCTGGCACAGCTCATTCCTTTGCTATTGGCTCGGGCAAAGGGGCTTGAGATAAGCTGCAAGAATCTTGCGCCTTGCACCCGGAATGAACATGCCCAAACCCGTGCCCCCGAATCGCAGCTTGGCCTGCTCGCATGTCGAAGCTTGGGGCCCTGACAATGCCCTGGGACTTCTTGAACTCCTGAACGCTTTCCCCTTGTGGCCGTGTAGAGCTTCTGGTGGCCCGTGTTATCGGGGGTGAACAATTGGCTGCTTCCCCAAAAATATGTTCTATTGCTCCTCGACCAGGTGCTGCAGAATCGCATGGTCGAAGTCTTCTCCGCCCAGTGAGGTGTCACCGTTCGTCGCTTTCACCTGCAATCAACGAAAGATCTACATGGTTGTGGGTCAAAATGAAACCACCAGGCAACCGCAGGTTTTAGTCCATGTTCCATTTGCCAAGGTTCCATTTTTGGGTACATGCGAAAAGGTCTTTCGAGCATAGGCAAAAAGGTGGTCAAATCAAAGGCGCTACGCTTGTGAAGGTTCGGGTGGCCAGTGTTCGATCGTTTTCAAATGTCCTCAGAGCAGGCAAGTTGAATTGGACAAAAACCTACCGCTCAACACTAACTGACGCCACAAACATCTGCGCGGCGTCGCTTTGGTCGCAACTTTTTCCACAGCATTGCCACAGCTCCAATCTAAAGGTCCTGGGGCAACGTCGCAGCACAAGTAAAAGCAACGCAAACAGCAGGGGCCGCTGGATTTCCCCTTGAAAAGTTGATCGATTCACTGGTTTTCGTTCAGATGGCCCATTTTTGGTTCCAAGCTCCGGCTCACCCCGTGGCTCAGCTACGCGATAGGTGAAATTTGAAAGATTCGGTGGGAGTTGAGATCGCAACTGTCCGGCCTCGTAGGGCACTTACCCCAAGCCCGGCGAAATGCTATCCCGACAGGCAAAGCCGAGTGGGAGGTGTGCAACCCCAAAGGCAACCGCCAAAGACACGCCAAAAGACATTCCGAGCGCATATGTCGCGTCTTGAAATCCCAAAGGCAAACCCAAAAAAGACATCTTCAAAGATATCCCTCACCTTAACCTTAATTGAAGGTTGGAATTGGTGGTTTGGATTTTGGCTGGGAAACCACTCCCCAACCACCAAACCAATCCAAACCAGCCATTCAGGCTTAGCTGAATCCCATCCACGAAAACAGCAAAAGCCCCGAAGACATTTTCTTCAGGCACACCCTTCAACAACATCCTCCAAATGCAAGACCCAAGGGCATGCCTGCGAGATCACCAAAGATCACGCCCAAATCGCAAAAAACCTGGGTTGGGGGGTGCTTGCTAGCTTGCCTGCCTGCTTGCTTGCGCTGGCTGGGTGGTGGTACGGAAAACCCAATCCAGCCAATCCTTGTTCCCCATGCTCATAGCACGTGGCTGAAAGCAACAAAGAATGCAGCAGCAAGGCAATGCCATTGTTGCTTGATTTTCTTTCATTACCCTCCCACACGTTTAACATGGAACCTGACAAAGTCAATTGGTGAGAGGGTAATGTCTTTTTCGGTCCTCATCGGTAAGAGGCTCTCCATCCAGCTCGGCATCGGGTTCGGGGCTTTTGCTCGCCTGCCAGAGGGGAAGAAAAGGGAACGCACGGGCCACGAATCCCAGCTTGTCACACATGGGAAACCAGATGCATATGCAGCTCCTTAAACTTGAAAGCCCCACGCATATCATGGGCATAGGTGGCCTTCTGGAAAAAAGTAGATGGGTTTCCCCGGCAAATGGTCGTTCAAGCCAGTGGACCTCAACCCATCAAAAGGACACCACTGGTCATGGGCTTCCGGACTAAACTTGTCGCGCTGACACTCCGCCCGCCTGTAGACGTGCTGTCCTGGGCCGGCGTGGGCCCAGTTTGCATTTGCGCTTTTAGTTCAGTTCGCCTGTACCTAAAAAAATGTTTTATGTTTGTTTTTTCTTTTTTCTAAAAAAAAAGTCTCAGGGACTCTTGGGCTGGCCCGGGTACCTAGGCTAGGTCGTTTTCTATGCCTTTTCGGGTACTCTCTGTTTCCCGTTTGTTGGTTCGGTCTTTTTGTACTCTGTTCTTCCATTCTACGGGGTTGAAGCCACCAAAGCCGCCTCCAAACCGTTGTCTGGACAGCTGAAACACTCATGCAACCAAGGGGAAGGGGTTCGACTTCTGGTGGCTGCCCGAAACTCCTGCCAAAAAGGGGAGCTCCAAACAGATACGATCAGTTGCTCATAACTTAGAATCAAAGTGGCTCGTCTCACTGCGATGACTGAAGGAAGCCGTCAAGCTTCCCGACCCCCGACTATGTGCTTGCAGAACTTGTGGTAGCCTTTTAGCTCCCTATTCAAGAGCAAATTTGGATACACCGCAGCTCCGTTCCCTTATTTGGGTGGGCTGCACAGGGAATCCAGAAGGCAAACCACCATTGTGGGGGGTGCCCCCCAAATCGCACACCCTTTTCGGTATATAGCTCGTCCTCAAATCGGATCCTCTCTCTCATTAGGTCTCGCACGGGGCTGCCGGAGCGGGAGCAGCTGCTCTGGACCTGACGCGCACAATTGAACCACGCCTGTTGGTTAGCTAAGGAGGATCCAAAAGGATGTCGTTGTTGTTGTGAGGGGACGGTTCCCCCCCACCCCCCGGTTTTGGTGGGGCTTTGATGGGCAAGAAACCCTTGCCATTGTAATCCGTTCACCTCTTGAGGGTGAACCGGTGAAAAAAATACGGTGGCTTGTGGCCAACATTGCCATTTGGGTCTGGCTCTTTTTTGAGGGTACCCTCTTGTTGGTGGGCTTTCATGGGAACCAAAAAGAAAACCACCTATTTTAGGGGGTGCCCTAAAAAAGGACAGACCCATTTAAGGGCTTTCAAAACTGAGAACAATGCTCCTACCCGCTGACGGATCGGATGCAGGGAGCTTCGTGCGCATATAGTTGCCCCAGTCAATCAATTGGGAACCGACATATGGTTTATGAATCACCACCTAAATGATGTCCGCCAAAGGGTCACATTCACACCCGTTTAACTC